CCTATAATTTGCCCTGCCTACAAGATATTCTGGGGTAAAAGTGTCACAGAAATTATGAGAATGACCAACCAATGACTGGTACAGCTTGAGACTCATACCATGAGAGGAAGCACACCACTGTCACTGCCTGGAGGGCCAGGACTCAGAGGCTGGATGGCTCAGAGACCAAGGACAGAACCAAACATGACTGGCAAAAAAGTCAATGAAATGATTCTTAATGATATTCTACTATGTTAATAGATTGATGCCTAGCCCAGTGGACATCAGAGAAGTTTCCCTGAGTAACAGATGGAAATAGATGCAGAAATCTGAAGCAAACCTTAGGTGGGCCTCAGGGAATCCTTTGGAAGAGGAGAAGGAAATATTATGAGAGCCAGAGGGGCCAAGGAAACCACAAGAAAATCACAGAAACACCTAACCTGGGCTCATAGGGGTTCCCAGAGATTGAACTACCAACCAGAGAGCTTTCACAGGACTGACCTAGGTTCTCTGCACATATGTTACAGTTGTGTTGTTTGGTCTCCTTGTGGGACTCCTAACAGTGGAAGCAGGGGCTGACTCTGACTGTGTTACCTGCTTTGGGGAACCTTTCCTCCTACTAGGTTGCCAAGTCCAGCCTCAATAGGAGAGGAGGTGCATAGTCTTACTGTAACTAACATACCATGACTGGGTGATATATATGGGGGGCCTGCCCTTTTCAGAAGAGAAAGGAGGAGGAGTGGATATTGACGGGGGAGAGTTGGGGTGGTTGAGATAGGAACTGAAGGGAGAGGAGGGAAGGAGGGAAAACTGTGATCAAACTGGAGAAAACTCATTAATAAAAATATTTTTTAAAAAAGATATCCTTAATAGCATTTTAACTCATTAGCTATTATCAAATCAATTTCTAATAATAAAGCACAAAAAGATACATATCTGAAAATGTGCAGAAACACATAAAAATGATTTGAAGAGAGAATAATTTAAATGGCAATGGCATTTGTTTAGGTGATAAAACTTTCAAGAGGCAGAAAGAAGATGTGTGTGTGTGTGAGAGAGAGAGAGAGAGACAGAGACAGAGACAGAGACAGAGACAGAGGGACAGACATAGATGGATGGATAGACATAAAAACAGAGACAGTGAGACATAAAACTCTTTGGAAGTTAATCAAGTGCTTTTTTGTTATATAAAGACATTGTAAAAGAGTAAATCACACTGTGACTAATCCTATCATAATTGTATTATAAGTCAGAATAAGATTTGGAATAATGATGCTTCTTAGATTCTGATGAGAAAATAAATTGTTTGACCCTTTCTATTATAACATATGATTCATCATATACCTCTCTTCTTAGCTTTTAACTTCTTTGAGTCTAAAGGTAAATGTAATAGATAGCCACCAAAGTTGTAATTTAAGTCTTTATTCTAAAAGTTCTGGTTATGTGATCTACTCATGAGCTATAGCTTGTCGTGGAAAAACCAGAGCTAAAACTCAAAACCATTGGTTTTAGTACTGGGGCCTTCTATAACAAGTACTTTTAAAAACCGTCATGTTTAAGTAAAAACTGTCTAAAAGGGTTTCCTTCTTTATTTCTCAGCAGAAGTGACCTAGTCAGAACCTATGGATGCTCTAGAGAAAGCAAGCTTTGTCAAGTACCAGAGTAGAACCAGGGGTTTTCTTAGTAGGGCAGATTCAGATCATAGTTGCAGGAAAAGCTGCAAATCCTCTGGATTTACAGGGAGAGATGTAGGAAACTTCATTTCATAAATGTTGTGGCTAAGCTCTGAACACATGACGGGTGGGGATACACACGGCTTCTAATCTTTAATATTTCTGTTTTCCACAACAAATAATGCTAACTAAAACTTTTTAAAGTATTGGACATATAATTTTGACTTCAATGAATAGCTCCTAAAGAAGGTAGCTATTCAAAAAAACTTTTAAAAAGCATTAGCTTTAGAATGAATCAGAGGAAGGGTCCCCCTTCTGACATTGTTAAACCATAGCTAGGTTAAACACAAATCGAAGAGAAAGTGGGAAGTAGTCTACAAGACATGGGCACAGGAGACCACTTCCTAGGTAGAACCCTAGTAGCACAGACAATAAGAGAATCAATGAATAAATGGGACCTCCTGAAACTGAGAAGCTTCTGTGAAGCAAAGGACACTGTCACTAAGACAAAAAGGCTACCTTCCGACTGGGAGAAGATCTTCACCAACCCCTCATCAGACAAAGGTCTGATCTCCAAAATATACAAACAACTCAAGAAACTAGACACTAAAACTCTAATTAACCCAATTAAAAAATGGGGTACTGATCTGAACAGAGAATTCACAACAGAAGAACTTCGAATGGCCAAAAGACACTTAAGGTCATACTCAACATCCTTAGCAATCAGGGAAATGCAAATCAAAACAACTATGAGATACCATTTTACACCGGTCAGATTAGCTAAACTCAAAAACACCAATGATAGCCTATGCTGAAGAGGATGTGGAGTGAGGGGAACGCTCATCCATTGTTGGTGGGAATGCAAACTCGTGCAGCCACTGTGGAAATCAGTGTGGCGGTTTCTCAGGAAACTGGGAGTCAACCTCCCTCAGGACCCAGCAATTCCACTCTTGGAAATATACCCAAGAGATGCCCTATCATACCACAAAAGCATTTGTTCAACTATGTTCATAGCAGCACTATTTGTAATAGCCAGAACCTGGAAACAACCTAGGTGCTCCTCGATAGAAGAATGGTTAAAGAAGGTGTGGAACATATATATATTAGAGTTTTACTCAGCGGTAAAAAACAATGACATCTTGAATTTTGCATGCAAATGGATGGAAATAGAAAACGCTTTACTGAGTGAGGTAACCCAGACCCAAAAGGAGGAATATGGTATGTACTCACACATAAGTGGATTCTAGCCATAATTAAAGGTCTTTGAGCCTATTATTCGTGATCCTAGAGAAGCTAAATAAGAAGGTGAACCTGAAGAAAATCATGTAGTTTTCCTCCTGGATATTGGAAGTAGACAAGAGTGCCAGGCAACATTGGGTGCATGGGGGGTGGGGGGTGAAAGTAAGGGGAGATGGTTAAAGAGAAGGGAGAGGGGGAGGATTGTGGATGGCTTGGGGGAATGAGATAGGGGGATGAAGGATGGATATGGGAGCAGGGAAGTATATATCTCAACTAAGGGAGCCATTTTAGGGTTTACAAGAGACTTGATTATAAATGGGTTCCCAGGTCCAAGGAGAGATCCCCAGATTGTTCCCTGGACGGCAGAGGAGAGGGTGCCTGAACTGGCCTTGGCCCATAACCATACTGATGAATATTTTGCATATCACCATAGAACCTTCATCTGGCGATGGATGGAGATAGAGACAGAGACCCACATTGGAACACTGGACTTAACTCCCTAGGTCCAAATGAGAAGCAAAAGGAGGGAGAACTTGAGCAAGGAAGGCAGAATCAGAGGGAATCTTCACCCGATGATGAATGGAGATTGAGACAGAGACCCACATTGGAGCACTGGACTGAGCCCCCAAGGTTCAAATGAGGAGCAGAAGGAGGGAGAGCATGAACAAGAAAGGCAAGACTGTGAGGAGTGCGTTCACCCACTGATACAAGGGGACTGATCTAATGAGAGTTACCAAGGCCAGCTGGACTGGGACTGAACGAGCACATGATCAAAACGGATTCTCTGAATGTGATCGGATTCTCTGAATGTGGCTGGCACAAGGGGACTGTCTGAGAAGCCATTGATAATGGCACTGGGACTTGTTTCCTCTGCATGTTCTGGATTTTTGGGATCCTAGTCAGTTTGGATGCTCACCTTCCTAGACCTGGAGGGAGGGAGAGGAACTTGAACTTCCCACAGGGCAGGAAACACTGACTGCTCTTAGGGCTGGAGAGGGAGGAGGAGAGGGAGTGGGGGGAATGGGAGGGTATTGGGAGAAGGGGCGGAAGTGGAAACTTTTATAAATTGATAAAAAAAATCATTTCCTAACCTTAGATCTAAACAAAATGGCCTTAGACTATCTCTCAACTTGACTGACTTCAGGGAAACTTCATGACCAGAGGCTTCTGACTTCCCTATTCATATGATTCAATTTACAAGACTTCAGGGACTTTTTATTCTGCCCCCTTTGAAATTTGTAAAACCTCTCAGCCCCTTTCCACTTTTACAACTTGGGGTTGTCTTCCTCAAAGGCCTAGAACAATATGTTTGAAATATAATCACTATTCTTAGGGCATCCCTCTCCCTGACTCACCCAGTAGAAAACAGGTTCCAAACCTGTTGCCAAACAGCACAGACTGCAGATTACAGAGAAAACATTTGCAAACTCAGAAAGACTCACTGTGCTTACCATATCCATTTTCTAACTTCCCTCTGTCATCCTTAGCATTTTCCTACTATCTCTCACTATAGGACCCCAGTCCTGGGAATGCCAGGGTCTCTTGCATGCTAGGCATATGCTCTACTACTGAGATACATCTCCAAACCTCACTCAGCTCTTAAAAGTCCCCTCCCCTCTGTTCTCTTCTCTCCTTCATAGTGCAATAACCTTGAATAAATATGTGTCTAACTTTGTTGCCTGGAATTTTCCCTAGTTGGGATCATTGTTTTTTGGCAACTGTAAGAGTTCTTAAATTCAATCAACATCATACAACCCTAACCAAGAAGCAGTCTCCAGTTGATAACCGCTTGCAAATAAAAATTTGATTTTCTCAAAAAAAAAATTGATTTTCTCCAAGGAAGTCTCCCTGGAGAAATGAACTAGTCTTAAGGGCAGGCCACATGCCCAGCAGTAGATAGCCCACAGAACATAAGCTCAAGGGTATCTTTGGAGGTTCCTTGTCTTATAATGTCATGTTAACGCTTTTTCTTTTCTTTATATTTTCATTAATTTTATTCTCCTTTGTTTTTATTTCTTTTCTCTTTCTCTTTCTTTTCTTTTTTACCCATCCAAGTCCTTTGCATATACATTATGGTTTCCAGTTTGTGTTTTTTTCCAGAATTCCTGGCTATGTCCAGTAACTCTTCAAACCTGTGTCACTGAGATTCAGTGCCAATCCGAAGTGAATTGACCAGCAGTTCTGTATTACTCAAAAGAGTTGGATGAGGAATGGCCCACTCAGTCAGTTCCAGGTACCATGACTTCCTCTGAAAAAAAATATTAAATCTATTATTTCTTCTTGTAGAAAAAAAAATCAATAAGAGGCGAACTTACCAAAGCCAGACTATAAAACATGAAAACATGTCCCAAATCCAGATGAATCTGTTTTAAAAGGCACCAGGTGGATATTATTTTTTCAGATAGTCACACACTGTCCTATTGACCCGCTGTATATTGGGCTCCATAAGAAGTGATTGCTGGTGGATTCTTCCCCCTTGGCTAGCTACAGAGAACATAGGCCCATGTGATTAATCATAACTCTGAGTAATACATTTAAAGTGGTCATTAGGCATCCAGACAGAATCCATGCTATTTGTTATGTTTTCAATAATCAGAATGCCTCCTCCGATCACATGGTCTTACTCCAGACACAAAGGTAGTCTTCCTAAGAACGTTGTATTTGTCTCTTGGGGGAGACTTATGAACATTTTTTTTTTCCGTAATCGACTGAAGTCAATAATTTAAGTACTTGGCAGTGTCTAACACTTATATCACAAGCACAGGATATATTTGTGGGTAGTGGGGAAGGTTTATTTTAATTTTGTACAAGCAGCAACAATCTAGAGGTGCAGACTGTAGTGGGGTATAAATACTATTTAACGCAGGATGTAAGCCAGGTTTTGCTCCTTGAGTGGAGATAGAGTTCCTGTCAGACAAATCATAATGACTCTCAGAGAGCAATCTGACTGTGGTGGAAAGGATGCCCCTAATTCACTTCGCACTCTTGAGAAAGCTGTTTTCTCTAATAAGACTGTGATAACTGAGCAGAGGTAGTTTTTGAACATGAGGTAAAAGTCCCATTTTTACCAAGATCATTTATAACATCTGAAGCAAATGTAAGTACCAGAAGAGAATTCAAATATAACAGGATGAGAATGAAGGAGACTGCACTGAGATCCTTTAGTTAGGTCACAGAGAAGGGCCAGGAAAAAAAAAGCAGTAGGTAGGCAAGATTCATAATGAACGGGGAAGCATGACGAAAAGTCAGAAAATTAACCATGCCCCGTCTTTCTGGGCAGAATCTGTGTAATCCTGTAGCCAGAAGGTTGCTGCCATTTTGCACGGAAGTTTTATAGTTCAAGAAAAATTTTGCGTGTTTTGTAATTTGGGAAGCAAGAACTCAAGGATCCACACCTTGCTGCTTTTTGCATTGCCCGCTGTTAAGGGTATCTCATAAGGTATTTCCTTGTGGCCCAGAAAAGGTTCCTTTCTCATAAACTTTTCAGAAGCTCAATAGCCAACTTTCAGGTCACACAGAGGTTACTCGGGCAGGCACGTGACATTTAGCTGCGCCAGGTTGCGGAGCTAGAAGCTGCCACAAATGTTCATCTTTGTTGTTAACCTCACCGGACTTAGAATCACCATAAAAACACAAGTCTGGGTGTCTACTAGGTGTTTTCAGAAAAGTTTAGTGGAGAGGAAGACCCATCCTGAATATCTGTGCAGGATTCCCTCTTCTGGGCTCCTAGACTGCGAAGAAATGGGAAAAGATAGCTGAGTGCCAGCCTTCGTCTCGGCTGCCTTTATGAAACTATAATAGAAATGCCACTACACAATTTATTCCTATGACTGTGTTAATATGAAACACTTTGGGTAAATGTCCAGTTCTGCAGGACAGTCTCTTAGGTAACAGTAAGGAGGATCACACAATGTCTTTAGTTTAAGAATTTCAAAGTCATGAACTCACTAATTCATGTGTATCTCCTATCACAATAAATATTTGGTCTTTTACCTTGTCTCAAGCAACTATTATAAACATCAGACAGTTCTTGTTATCTGGGTTTATTTAATTACATAAGGTTCTTAAGTTTTATGGATATATGCATCCATGCAGTGATTGAATCACTGAATTCCAATTATTTTTATTTTATTGTTCAAAACTAACATCTGGGAGATGAAGAGATGGCTCAGCAGTTAAGATTGCCTATTGGTCATGCAAAGACTCTGAGTTTGATGCTTGGTACCTAAAGAACTGTCTCACAATGCCTGCAACAAACTCAAGTTTCTGGGGACCTGGCTCTCTTTTCTGGCCTCAGACACCTGCATTCATTATTGATAGACACACACACACACACACACAGAGAGAGAGACAGAGAGACAGAGAGACAGAGAGACAGAGACAGAGAGATAGAGAAACAGACACACATAATTTAAAAAATACTAAGATTTATTTTAAGTAAATATAAATAAACAAACAAAATGAAGATTGACACGCATAAAAGCAAGTGAAGCTTATACAGGGAGTTCCTGGCTAAGAATGTGGTACAGGGCATGGTAGCTCCCTTATTTAGCTTCCCTGATTGTGAAGCTCTTCTTTCAGAATAGGGTGGCGTGATTGACCTGAGAAAATCGCTCAGTGTTGCGATTTTTAACTGTGCTCCCTAGTTTAGCTGCCACTGGGAAAGTATTAAGAGTACCTAACCAAGTAAACAGTATGTATAGCATAAAAAGACATTAAGCAGCTGAGTATCTTAAAACAAAATCAATTGCAGATTTAGCATTTATTATTGCTGATACAACCCTTAGAAAAAAATGGATGTGTCCTAGCCATCAAATCTAAGACAAATTGTAACCCTTTCCTATAGTCCCAGGACTTAGCAAACTGAGGCAGAAGGGTTGCCATGAAGTCAAATCCATTCTGGGCTACAGTGTGACCCAGAGAAAAGGGAATAAAGAAAAAAGAAGGAAGGAAGGAAGGAAGGAAGGAAGGAAGGAAGGAAGGAAGGAA